GAATTTACTTTTCATTTTTCTCTAGCTTGACCCAACAGATGTGGCCTGGAGCAGTAATTCCACAGAAGGATTTGCCCTGCGGAACAGATTCCCAAGGAATGAGCACATTCCCAAGGCTGCAGAGGGTGGGATTGTTGGGGTGTCTGTGCAGGGCCAGGGGTTGGATTTGTGATCCTTTTGGGTCCCTTCCCACTCAGGACATTCCATAATTGCTTGAAAATAGATTAATTAACCACTTTTAGTGAGTGTCACAAGGAGAATCTTCCCAAGAATGGGAATATTCTCACTCAGCACATCCACAGTGAAATCCATTAGTTCTTCTCTAAATAAAAGCGTTCCATTAAAAATCTCTCCCCACTCATCACTGAGGGAAGCATCCAGGATAAATATTCCCAAATTCTGAAAAGAACTGGTTTTTATGACAATTGGTTAAATGCCACCGTTGGTACAGAAACGCTGCACAAGTCGTTGGGAACAAAAAATTTCCTCCCACAGGAAAAATAATCAAAGCTTTCCATAATTTTTCTCCATTCATCTCCAATTTGTCACTTGCCAGGATGTGAACAAAGGGAGCAGAATTCTTAACACGGAGAGATGAAAGGGAAAACGCCTGGAAATACCTGTTGAACTCCTACTTCTTGGAAGCATTTTCAGGTTGTGCCTCTTCTTTCAGAATTAGGAAAATTCTGCATCTCAAGCAGAATAAAAATGAATCAAAAGAAGGGGTTTGGCAGCAGGAAAAGGTGGGAAAATAACAGCAACCCCAGCAATGCATCCCAGAATCTGAGAGTCAGCAGAGTCATCCCATGGGATCCACCAGGAACTGCCTCAGGTCCTGAGGAAGTGCAAAGCTGTTGGAATTCCTCAGACACAAAATATTTTCTACTTTTCTCAGCAAATTCATACCAGAGAAAGGAGAAAGAATTTACTTCCCCTCTCCTTATTTAGAGGGATCAACACTCTGCTGTTTCTGTGATGGTTCTCATTCCCAGATTCCCAGAATCCCAGGATCCCTGAGGCTGGAAAAGAGCTCCAAGATCAGAGTCCCAGCTGTGCCCAATGCCCACCCTGTGCCCAGCCCAGAGCTCTCAGTGCCACCTCCAGGGATGGGCACTCCAAACCTCCCTGGGCAGTGCCAATCCCTTTCCATGGGGAAATTCCTGCTGTGGGTTCAGTGAATCCGAGCAATGCTGGGCTTGGGCCCGCTGAGCCTCCTTTGCTCCAGGAAAAAATGCCTGAGCCAAGGACAGGAGGCACGGATCTCTCACTCCAACTCCAGTGGGATGAACCCACTCCTAACACAAGAGAAACCCACAGGGGAGAAGATTCCATCCTCCCTTCAGCCTCGCCTTTGGGATTTAAAGATGGAGGAGCAGGAAGAAGCTGGGGTGGAAGTCCTGCAGATCCCAGCCATGCAATCAATGCATCCATAATCTGTTACAAAGCAGAGCCAGGAAAAACAAATCCTGATTATCAGCACTGAGGATGTGTGAGGAGCAGCTCTTCCCTGGAGGCCCCGAAAGAGGTCACTGGTGCTGAGCACAGAGCGCTGCTCAAAAGCCAAGTGACAGAAAATTGGGGCGTCTGAAAGTGGAATAAATGAGGGCTGCACTTCATAAAACACCCAAATTCAGTCCTGACAGAGCAGCAGAGGCAGGGAAGTCACTCAGCCCAAAGAATGGCTCATTGTCCCCCCTTATTCCCCAGAAGCCACCTCAAACCGGGCTTTCCGTGCTCTGACAACAAACACCACACGTTTCCAAAATAAAAAATAACTGATTCCCCCCTTTTCCCTCCCCATTCCCGAGGCTGGCTGGCAGAGCAGAGCAGGCTGGATCTGGATGCGGATCAGCTCCCAGGGAACAGTTCTTGCCCTCCTTTTCCCCTCCTTGTTTTACACAGCAGTAACAAATGAGCTCAGGATCAGCTCAGCATTTAGAGAAATACGTGCTCCCGTCTCATCTGCTTGTTCGTGTGTCAAGGAATTCAAAGCTGTGGGGAAAATAATGATTGCCTCACACTTGGTTGGGTTTTTTTTGTTTTGATTTTTTTCTGGTTTTTGTTACCAGAAATGAGACTCCTATGTCATTTTTACTTCCACATTTACATGGAATTCATGGATTCAGGGAACTACAGAGACAAACAACCCCACATCAAATATGTAACAGCCATAAGACTCTTGCCGCTGTTTGTTTAGGTGAGGAATAAATCAGCTTTTTCTCAGCACAACAAAGAGAAAACCGAGGGGAAGCGAGGCTTTACTCACACTGCACGATGAGCTGCACCAAGGCCTCTCTGGGCTTGACATTGAACCCGTTGTACTGGCTGGTCTGGCACCGGTAGGTCCCGCTCATTTCCCGGGAGACGTTGATGATCCGCAGGATCCCGTCGTAGCTCTCGGTCTGCAGGGCCCCGTCAGGCATGGCCACCTCCTTGTCAGCCCGGGACCACAGGATGATGGGCTTGGGCTTCCCCGTCACCTGGCACTGCAGCTCGATGGTGTCCCCTTCCCGCGTCACCAGCGGGGACTTCTCCTGAGGCACCGTCAGGTTGGGGGGCACTGCCAAGGGGAGAGGAGAGGGGTCAGCAATCAGGAACCAGGGATGGATTTCTGTCCGGTTTATCTCAGCTGTTTGAGGGGCCTGAAAAGGCCCGGGGTGGCCTTGGGGCAGCCCGCGTATCGAAGGACGAGAAGAGGCTTCAGTTCTTCTTTCTGGTTTTATGTTTATTAATTGTTTATCTAAAAGATGTTCTTTCAGCCCAACAGAGATCTGCTCAGCAGCCAGCCATGAGCACACTGTGCTGCCCTCCCGGGCAGCCACCTATCTTTATACCCTTTGTTACGTGTACAATATTTATCATTTCTCCCCAATACCATCTATTCTTATAACTCGGTGTACTCTCAGTAATAACCAATCCAAAGGTGCCACCGTGGCCAAAGAAGATGGAGGAGAAGAGGAAGAAGAAGGAGGGCAGGACACGCCCCAATTCCTCCATCTTACTCCTCTAAACCCCCCTGTACAGAAATCCTAAACCCTGTTTCTCACTCTCTAATTAGCTAATCTTTTCACCCTTCACCCTGTGAAGCCCTCATCCCTGTCGTCTCCTGTGTAGGGTTAAAGTCCAGCCACCAGACACTTCTGGCAACATTCCAGGAGTCCCGAGCCCCCCCAGGGTCTCGGTGGCTCAGCATCTCAGGACTGAGATCTTGAGATCCGACAGATTTCCTGCCAGGATCAGCCATGGAAAAGGGGGTTTATCCACAGCAATGTGTGGGTTGTGCTCTTTGGAAGCTCCCACATTTACTTCTCAGTGGCCTGGAGAGCCTCAGAGGAGATTTCCCAGCTCTGCTGTGACACTTGTGCCCTCCCAGCGCTCCCAGTGCCCACCCACCATCACTCACTCCCTCACTGCCAGTTCTGCTTTCTTTAAAGGATCGTTTGGCACTAAATCCCTTTTTTTTAGAACAGCCTGGCTGCTGATTTTTTATCCAGCGCGTGGATAAATGGCTGTGGATGAGGAAGGGTTGTGGCAACTGAGAAATCACCTCAGACCTGGAGGCCTGACCCCAAAATGCAGCTGGGGTCCGTCGAGTGGTGTCTATTCCATGTAGACAGGAACTAACAATTCCAAAAAGGATGCTGTAATTATTCCCAGCAGCCCCATGGAGCAGGAGCACCTCACAGTGAGCAGGGGATGGCCAAGGACACCAAGGATGTGGATGTGGGGGAGCAAATCCAGAGAAACCCATGGAGCTCCTCCAAGGGCTGGAGCTGCTCTGGAGCCAGGCTGGGAGAGCTGGGAATGTTCCCCTGGAGAGGAGAAGGCTCCAGGGAGAGCTCAGAGCCCCTGGCAGGGCCTGAAGGGGCTCCAGGAGAGCTGGAGAGGGACTGGGGACAAGGGATGGAGGGACAGGAGCCAGGGAATGGCTCCCAGTGCCAGAGGGCAGGGATGGGTGGGAGATTGGGAATTGGGAATTCCTGGCTGGGCTGGAATTGCCAGAGCAGCTGTGGCTGCCCCTGGATCCCTGGCAGTGCCCAAGGCCAGGCTGGGCATTGGGGCACCCTGGGACAGTGGGAGGTGTCCCTGCCTTGCTTGGCACACTTTTGGAATGCTGTGGTGTGCAGGGAGAGATGGAAAATCCTGATTTAAACACTGCCCACCCTCCTTTTCCCTTGATGCCTCCTGGAAACTCATCTTTCCTGATGGAGCTCCTGTCCTGCAGCAAGGGCAGACATTCCCTGTGGGAACACAGCCCCTCCGGGAGCTTTTCCTCTCCTCCCTGCCCTTCCCTCAGCTCCTTTCCTGGAATGCCAGGCCTGACAAAACCCAGCCTGCACCTCCCTCCTGTCTGCAGGAAAACTATTCCAAAGCAATTTTCAACCCCCAAGGGACAGAAACAACAAACTCGTCCCAGTGAGAAGCAATTCCAGCTTTCCCCTGGGATCTGCTCCCTGTCTCCAGCCCTGACAAGCCTGGTAGGAATCAGAGTTGAAATCTGGGCCTTTCACAGGAAGCAAAGTGCTGCTTTCAGCTGTTTTGAAGGCTTTAATAGCTCCTGTCAAGTGGGACAGGCAGACATGGGAAGAGCTTTTTCCACAGGGACGGGAAGGAAAAATTATTTTATATTTAAAAAAAAATCCAGAAAAATTAAAAAGAAATAAACAACAACTGCTTAATAAAACATTTCCAATATGAATAAAACATTATTAATTCTCAGTTATGTGGTTTTGTGCCACAGCAGGTTCTGTGCACAGGAAAATTCCCAGGGGAGCTGGAGCACTGTGAAATCATGGACCAAAGTGGGGGAAATGTGTTGTTCCAAGAAGGAAAATACAGTTCATAGGGAAAGGTGTCTGCCTGCAGCCAGGATTTTCCAGCTCCCCTGGCTTGTGGCTTCTCGGCTGAGGGCAAAAGTGACAGAACCCTTTGTGGATCAGGAAAATTCCTGGATTTGTCCTTTTCCAGCCTGTGCAGTGCATCTGCTCCCAGATGGGACTGGTGGATCCAGGCCTTTCCCAGCTGGATGGATGCTGGAGGCTCCTCAGGCTTTCCTGGGAATCTCAGCCTGCCCTGGCTCAGGGATTCACTGCCCTCCAGAGATGAGGGGTTACTGGGATGAGATCCCTGATACCCTGAGGTCCCTGTGATCCCAATATCCCAAGGGAAAAGCCCTGGGCCAGCCCAGCCAGCTCTGCTGCAGCCCCAGCTGGGGCCTGGATGGGAATTCTCCCTCTGGGAATTGTCCCTGTGGAGCTGTCCCTGGACATGTGGTGCTGACAGCCTCTTCCAGATCCCAACATTTCCAGGGATTC